AATCAGAGTGACCTCGAACATTTTCCCTGAAGTGTTATGAATTACAACTCAGAGTATAGCGCGGAATACTATTGGGGAACATGATTACAGAATGAGGATAGAAATAAGGCCTAGGGCCTATATAGTGCGAGTTGACCAGGTTGAATGTCGAGGGTTGGACCAGTCGAAGGCTAGCTAGTCCCGAGGGTGACGGGGTCAAAACGGGTTCGGGGCGACTCGGGGTCAGGTTGGGGCCGAAAAGGTCGCCGGGGGCTGGTTTGGCGCGATAACCCAGGGCCGAGCCTGCGGACCCGCACTGTTCATTGTACTCGCTGTGGCGAGCCCCAGTAAGGAATCGAAATTCCTTACACTCTCCCACCATCTAAAGGAAAGCCCTCCCATTATCGAGGTCGAACCTTTTATCTAAATTAATCCCCGAAGCGACTGTAAGTCTTCAGCCCTGTGACGAGCGTAATGATTACGCCGGCCTGACGAGGTCTTGAGGTGGAACTGAAATCGATGGTCAGAAAGCGTCGAAACGATCGCTTTTAATCTTGGCCGTTGAAGATGGTCGAATTCTTCTGCTGACCAAACCAGGCAAGGGTAAATACTCCAGCGGAAGACAATGAACAGTGAAACCGTCGAGTGGTCGATTGATGATGGCGCATGGCGGCTGAATTTCTTGAAATGATGACAGGCGAATAACGTGATGGTCGATGAAAAATGAAGGACCCGCTCGTCAAACGCGAGGTCGTTCGGGTCACATGCGAGAGCACGCTTCCGTGTCCCATGAAAGTCAGCGAACTCCGTCAACGAAGTGACGAAATCTGGTGCGGAAGCGTAACGATGACGAATGTCGGTCGAAAATGGTTAATGGAACATGCCGGAAAGGTCATCGGAAAATTGCAACACAGCTGCCCTTCTCCCCCCTCCAATAGAAACAAATCCCAATTTTCCAGGTAAAACGCCAGAAAACCCAAGGCTCCAGGGACGTCGAAAAAATCCCACACTGCTGCGGAAAATTCCCTAACGCAGCTTCCAATATGTCGAAAATTCTGATACTCAGCTTTCAATAGGCCGTTGCAAAACTCCAACCGCAATAGGACCCAAAAATCCTCCAAACTGAAAAACCTCCGCAGGGTAAACCGCTTCGAATGTCGGGAAATTTTGTAACTCCAGTAGTAGACTCGTACACGAACTCAATTTTTTCTTCAAATGTCAAAACACTGCGTGCGAGCTGGCCCCAACACAGCTCCACAGTACTGCTGTAAAATTGCCTGTGATTCCGATACTGCGCCTGATGGGTGGTGATGATGCGGCGGGGTCGTTTTCACACAGACGGGCGAGTTGAGAATTGAGGTGGTAGCGGGTGGTGGCGAGATGCTGACGACGATGGCGATGACCTGTAACCTGTGCCGAACCACTTCCGTGAATATCCTCGAACAGTGCCCGATTTCAAATGACACCAGCTGCATCCGCCTTTTTGTCCGTACATGCCGAAAATTTCGGGAAGAGCCGAAACTGCTACTGCTCCCCCTCTGCTCCATATAACCAAAACACTCCGCAAATGTCGGTCGATGTCTCTCGTACCCCTGAAGATAGCGGGCACAACTCCAGCTGTAAACTCTTGAACTACACCTCCAAACCCGCCGAAAATGTCGGAACCGCTCGGTACTTAGCAAACACCGTAACTCCGCTTCACAACTACCTGGAACACACCCAGACGTCACGGCGTCCGTTAGCAGCACCCCCACGGTTTCTCCACCAGCTGTATGCATGAACTGAACCCTTTATCTTAGGGTTTACCGGAGTCCACCGCCTCGGCCATGTCTGAGCACGGTCTTATTCTAGGTCTCCCTGCGTCGCTTCCTGCCCTCCCTCCCTCGCCTTCGCCGCCGTGCATGCCCAGCGTCGAGGGCCGGATGCGCCGTGCTCATCACTCCTCCTCGCTTCGCCCTACCACCACGCCACTCCAGACCCTGCACCTGGACGTCTGGGGCCTAGCCCCCGTCCCTGCGCCACGTCGCGAGCGCTACTTTCTCGTACTCGTCGACGACTACACGCGCTACACCACAGTCTTTCCCCTCGAGCGGAAGGCCGACGTGCCTGACGTTCTTATCCCATGGGAAGTAGCTGCACGCCTCCACCGCCGTCTCCATGTGCTCTGTCTCCACTGCGACCGCAGCGACGATTTTGCCTCTTGTCGGCTTGGTCAGTTCTGTCGAGTGGAGGGCATCACCCAGTCGTACACTCTACCGAACTCCCCGCAGCAGAATGGGGTCGCTGAGCGATGCATCGGCTTGGTTATGGAGGTGGCTCGCACCTCCATGATTCATGCCAGTGCACCCCATTTTCTGTGACCGTTCGCCGTTCGCTACGCCGCTCACCCGCTTAACCTGGGGCCGAGCTCCCAGCGGTTGCACGTTTCGCTGACCCTTCTTTGGACCGAGTCCCTGGTGACGCGTCTGCGTTCCACGTCTGGGGCTGCCTCGCTCACGTTCGTTCCTCTGGCATGGACAAGCTCACTGCCCGCACTGTCTCTTGTGTCTTTCTCGGTTTCCCCCTTGACTCGTCCGACTGGCACTTCAGTTCTCGTCTGGGGGTGTCCGTTCTGGAGGTGCTGGAGTGGAGTGTTCCAGAGGTAGCCGTGGTGCAGCTGGCGGTTCATGTGTCGGCGTCGAGCAGCAGCAGCAGTCGTCGCCGGTGTCTGCCCTTCGCTTGCTCAGCCTTCCCTCCCCTGACTGCTCGCTGTGCTTTCCCCGCCGCCTCCTTCTTCTTGTCTATGGCCCTGTGTTCCCTCCGGCAGACTCATCTCCGGCTTGTCTCCCCCCTCTGTCTTCTGACCAGACGCCTCCGTCTCACGTTTGGTCTCGCCATCCCTCTCGTGCTCGTCTTGTCTCTCCTGTTCAGCGTTCTCACCCTATGTTGCTTCGTTCTCACGCATCTCGTCCCCCTCTCCTACCTTCGCCTCCTCCCTCGCAGTTGCGCCTCCCCCTCTGTCTGGCTACCTTCGTGCTGCTCGTCCTCTTGTCCCTCGTTACTGACCCGTCTGTTCCTGTCTCGAGTCATGACGCTCTTGTCGCTGCTGTCGCTGACTTCGCCTCTACCTGCCGCCTTGACTACGCCACCGCTCTGGTCTCTGACCCTTTCTATCCTACGTCCGTCGGGGGTGTACCTGCCCTTGGCGGTGACGTCCTAGAGGACAGGCAGTACGAGCTTGCTTTTCGGTCAGAGGTTGCTCCCCATCTTTGTTCCATGCTACTCGTTCCTGAGGGTGACCCAGACGCCTTTGACATCTCGACCCTTCGCACTTACGCTGAGGCGACCTCGGGACTCTGGGCCTCTCAATGGATAGCTGCCATGGAGCAGGAGATGGCATCTTGGAGATCCACCGGTACCTTCGTCGACGCAGTTCCCCCACCTGGGGTGAACGTAGTCGATGGCCGATGACTCTTCAAGGTGAAGCGCCCCCCTGGAGAGTCGCATGTGTTCAAGGCGCGCTACGTGGCTAGAGGCTTCAGTCAGCGTAAGGGTGTTGACTTCTTTCAGACCTTCGCCTTGACCCCGAACATGACTACTCGTTGGGCGCTACTACACGTAGCAGCACAGCATGACTACGAGTTACACTCCTTCGACTTCTCCACTGTTTTTCTCCAGGGCAGTCAACACGAGCAGGTCTACCTGCGCCGCCCTCACGGTTTCACAGGTACCTTCCCTCCTAGGACCCACTGGCTCCTCCGGCGCCCGGTCTACGGCTTGCGACAGGCGCCCTGTGAGTGGCACGACACGCTTCGTACCACGCTGGCTGTCCTGCACTTCCTTCCGTCCTCAGCAGACCCCTTGCTCTTCGTTCATGCTGGCCAGACTCCGTTCTACATCCTTGTCTACGTAGACAACCTGGTGTTCGCTACTGCAAACAGAGACGTGCTGGCTTCCGTGAAGGCCGGGTTTCTGAGGAAACACATCTACACTGACTTAGGAGAGCTGCGCCACTACCTTGGCCTGCAGATCTCCATGGACAGAGCAGCGCGCACCATCACTCTCACACAGTCACACTTGGTGCGCCAGGTCCTTAAGAGGTTCGATCTTCAGTTCTCCTCCGCACAGCCCACTCCTCTTCCAGTAGACCACAAGCTCTCTGCTCCAGTTCCTGAGGAGTCAGTAGAGCCCAATGGTCCTGACGCAGAGCTAGTGGGTTGGCTCATGTACCTGATGACTTACACTCGTCCAGATCTTGCATACCCTCTTAGTATACTGGCTCGCTTTGTGGCCACAGGCAGACACCGACCACAGCACTGGTCGGCCGCTAAGAGGGTTTTGCGGTATCTGGCAAGTACATCGGGCATGGGGTTAGTGATGGGAGGACACAGGCCAGTGGTCCTTCCTGAGCACACAGACGCTTCTTCGGCAGACGACGTTGAGACCTTCAGGTTCTTCCAGGGCTACTGCTTTAGCCTTGGTTCATGTGCCATCTCGTGGAGGTCCACTCGCTCCTCATCTATTGCCCAGTCCAGCTGCGAGGCTGAGATCTACGCCGGTGTGATGGCGGCACAAGAGCTCCGCTGGCTGACCTTCTTGCTCACCGACTTAGGTGAGCGGCCTAGCTGTGCCCCGGGGCTGTACGCTGACAACAGGGCCATGATCCTCCTGTGTCAGGAGCCACGACTTGAGGGCAGAGGGAAGCACATCCAGCTGCGGTACTTCCTCCTGCGCGAGCTACAGCAGCACCGCCAGGCTCGCGTAGTACACTTGGCCTCAGGTGCCAACACAGCTGATATCTTTACTAAGGCACTTGTGCCTAGAGATCATCAACGCCACTGTTTGCAGCTTGGTCTAGTTTTTGTAGACTCTCACTTGCTACGACCTTGATTGTGTACTCTATACACTTATCTTTCAGACTGGCCTCCTGGAGGTAAAATGGAACCCTGGAAGGCTAAAATGGTGAGGGGTGCTCTCCTGGAACCCTCAAAAAGAGGGTGTATAATTGCGGATTTTTCAATAGAACACCTTTCCCGGATATAACACCAGGGGGTGCTTAATTTCGGCGGGTGTTTTATCCGGGGGATTACGGTAGTAGTGCCGCCCTGAGCTGTGTGCTTCTCGCTCAGCACTACCTCGTATCTAGCCTAGGGGGTGTGTCAACTTTACATACATTTGCATGTAGAAGTTGTAGGCTAGAATAGGTGTGTGTTCCTAGAGAGTACAACCCCAAACCTATACCGTGTTCTCTCTTCTTGATATTTTATTCTAGTATTCTATACGTCATCACATCAATCTGCCTCACCCGCGTCCCTCTCGTCGCTCCGACTCTTCCTCAACTCCCTCATCCCCATCCAACTCATCGCTATCATCATCATCGTCCTCCTCCACCCCCTCCCCCTCCCACTCCTCCCCTCTCTCTTCCTCCACACCCTCTTCATCCACGAAGTGTTGAATCACCGGATCCACATCCGACTTCCTGCAGCACCCCTTAACAACGACCCTCTCTAAATTCACATCCCTTGGCTGGGAGAGCAGAGCAAGGGAGAGCGGCAGACTGCGAATGCCCCGGCAGCTATCCACCTCGAGCTCCAGGAGCCGAAGGAGAGAGCCGATCTCCTCAGGCAAACACGTGAGACCGGAGCAGCAGCGGATGAAGAGGCGCTGGAGAGATGGGCAGAGAGCGAGGCTGTCGGGCAGCTGCAAGATTGTCGGGCAGTAGCTGACACTCAGCTGCTGAAGGTTCTGCAGGCAGCTGATGTCTTCGGGCAGAGAGGAGAGAAGTTTGCAGCTGCTGATCTCAAGGGTATTCAGAGTAGGAAGCTGTGAGAAGGACTGAGGGAGGGTTTGAAGGGAGTCATTACCATGCAGCCTCAGTAACTGAAGGTTTTGTAGCTGCCCAAGAGACTCCGGAAGGCACTGGAGATCACTCAAGTTGCACAAATACAGCGCGTCAAGAGCCGACAACTGCCCGATATTCTCGGGCAGGGAAAGAAGCTGGCTGCAGCCCGTGATTCGAAGGCACTGGAGGAGCGAGAGCTGCGGCAGAGTGGAGGGAAGGTGAGTGAGCTCGCTGCAGTCAGCCAGCATGAGCCTCCGCAGATTGGTCAGATTCCCCAAGTCGTCCGGTAGCTGCAGGAAGCATTCGCTTATGTCCAGATGCTGCAGGGAGGATAGCTGTGTAAAGGACGCGGGCAGGGTGTCAAGAGCATGGCAGGAGCAGAGGGTTACAGAGCGGAGGCTGCGCATCTGCCCAAGGTTATCGGGTAGCCCGGAAAGGTTTGGCAGGGCGAGGTCGAGGGTGTCTAAGGAAGAGCAATGGCAGAATGACTCGGGCAGGGAAAGGAGCCCCTCACAGCCCATGGCACAGAAATAGGATAATTTCACCAACTGCCCGAGTGTATTGGGCAGTGAGGATAAGGAGGTACACTCCACCAGCTGCAGGTCCTGAAGATTGCTGAGGCTGCCCAGACTTCCGGGCAGCGACGTGAGACTATCTAATTCCAAAAGGAGAGTTTCTAGAGCGTGAAGCGCGCCGATTTCTTCAGGTAACTGCAGCAGGCTGCCCGAAGCAATGCTAAGTTCGACCAGCCCAGTCAGATTCGATATGCTTCCTGGAAACGCGGTGATGGATTGCGTACAGCAGAGAGACAGCCGCTTCAAACGCGTACAGCGGGAAAAGAGCATATGGAGGCCTTGATCCGTGTACGAGTCCGCCTGCGTGGGCAGCAGGCAAAGTTTCGCGAGGCTGGGACAAGCACTAGCCATCTCCCCGAGAAACGCGTCAGAGAGGGAATCCGGGGGGTAGACGGCGATGTGAAGCGCGGAGAGATTGGGCATGCGGGAGAGAGTGCGGAGGATCTGCGATGCGCGGATCGCGCGGCGACGCGTGAGGCGGAGGGACGGCACGGCGAGGTACGCGAGATCGCGCCAGCGGCGGGAAACAAGCGCGTGGGCGAACGGGGAGGCGGGGGGGGAGGAGACGGGGGGGGAGTCGGATGATGCTGCCGCCAGTGGTGATGCTGCTGCTGCTGTTGCTGGCGCCGCGGCGGGGGGTGGTTGCATGACGTGGCGGAACATCAGCACGAGAAGGTCGTCTGGAAAGCGGTCGAACGGATTAGAGCTAGTAACTGTAGTTGTAGTAGGAGTAGGACTGGTACTAGTAGTGCTAGCGTGGACCGCATTGTCTGGGGGATTATTAGAGCTCGACATTTTCTTCCACCGTTGCCGCCGCCGCTGCTGCTGCTACTGTTGCTACTGCTGCTGCTTCTGCTGCGGCTCGACGGAAACTGATTGCGAGCCCTGCTGCTGCTGATGCAATGCTAAGCCGCTTAGTAAGTCGTTCTGTATATGGGAACGAATTGACTGGAAGTTTACAACTAAATCGCCCTTCCCTCGACGCGGATGGAAACTCGAGGCAACGACGAGGGTTCGAGCTGAGACAACGGCGTGGCGCGTCAGCGGGCAAGGGCGAGGAGGCGAGCCGGGGAGGAGCAAGTCACAAGCTGTAGAAGAGCAACGCTGAGAGAAAAGCGTAGTGTGCGTGGAAGGCGCTGCTTGGTGGGTGTGAAAGACAGCAAGGTGTGGAGGGGGCGGATGCTGCAGTGCTGCAGACTGCGGTGCTGCAGTGCAGTGCGGTGCTGCAGTGCAGTGCGGTGCTGCAGTGCAGTGCGGTGCAGGGGGGGAATACGCGGGTGGGGGGAGGAGGGGGGGGAAGGAGGAGGGGACTCGCGCGAGACAAGAAGGGGTGGGGTTTGGGAGGGAGGCGGAGGAGATGCGCGGCAGATGTGGTTTGGGCAGACTGGTTAGGCATACGCGCTGCGGGCCGTCGCGAGAAGATAATGCAACACCCTAATCAATACACCCAATCGCACAAGAGCCCTTAGCTCGTGGAGCAAACAAAGAAGACGCAACGTGAATACTACCGGTATGCGGAGGGTTCTGCAATGTGTACCACACCACATGCTATGTCAGAGAACATGTATACGATGAGGTGGTGGGCCCATTATGAAATGATGAGTGAAACACTGCCTACGAGATGAATGAAATGATTAGCATAGCACAACGCCATGGAAATGTACAAGTGAAACCCAAGACAACGCATCTGCTTTCACAAAATCCCCCCTCCCTACCTTGCATCAACTTTTGAACCTCTCCCATGCAGAAGCCACCCTATCCAGAATTAGCCTGTGATCCAACCCCCTGCAGCCTGTGCTCATGTGGTATATCATCAACTCCTTAGCTCTGCTTTGCTGCCCTCCCACTCCCCCCTTGTTGGCTCGGATACTGGTGCTGGCTGAGTTGGGCTGCGGATGTGAATACCCGACTTGGATAAGCCCCTGAAACGGGTGTTACACAGAGGAATACCGTAACGGGGAGGAGAAAGACAGAGTAACGGGGAGGAGTAACACAGGGTGACAGAGTAATGGGGAGGAGAAAGACAGAATAGTAAGAGGAAGGAGAAGCAGAGAGGAGTGACAGAGATGAAGCAGACCAGCAACGCTCCGGTTCTCTCTATTAGCGGCTCAAAGCAGACGCGTGGTGGTGAGTAGGACAGGACGCAGTCGGCAATGAACGGCGGGCATGCCGCGATACCGGGACGGAATATAAGATGGCAATGAACAGCGGAAGAAGCAGTGGGCAATGGACAGTGGGCATGCCGGGAGTGGATATAAGATAGACGTCGAAAACGAGACGAACGAGTTACCCCATGGCATCCCCTCACCTCAAAGGAAGCAAGGAAGCCTTGCAGGCGCATGAGGGCAGAGCGGAAGGGCGGGGGAAGGGAGGGCGAGTGGGTGATGGCCAGCAGAGCAGCCTCGTCCATGTGCAGCAGTCGGGCTATCTCCTGGTGGCGGTGGTGGTGGTGGTGATGGAGAGGGGCAGGGGGGAAGAAGGGGGGGAGGGGGGAGGGGGAGGGGTGCGGAGAGGGAAATGAACTGCAAGGAGACGATGATGGGGGAGGCAAAGGGGAGGGCGAGTGGGTGATGGCTAGCAGAGACGGCTCTTCCTTGTGTAACAGCCGGGCTACCTAACTCCAGAGGGCGATGGTGCAGGGAAGGAGGGGAGGGAAGAGAACGGAAGGCGAGGGGGAAGGGAGTGGGTAACGCAGGTGCACATTCATTGTTAAGCATGCGTGTGGCGATCTGCTGGTCCAGGTGGTCCACGTGGTGCAGGGAGAGGAGGGAGGGAAGGGAGAGGACAGGAGAGAAAAAGAAGATCGGGGCGAGAGGGAGGGGAAGAGGAGGAGGTGAGATAAGAAGGGGTTGAAAGGGGTGGCAGGTGGTTGTAACGGCAGGGAGCGGCAGGTAGACATGAGCAATTTAAATCGCATCGCATCGCGATTAATCGCGATTTGCGATGGCGATGTATTTTTTTTTTTAAATTCATCGCGCGATGCGATGATTTAATTATCACGCGATTTAATTTATATCGCAATTTAATCGCGGCCAAAAATCGTGATTTAATCGCGATTTGCGATTAAAATTAAATCGCATGCGATGTCGAAATACATCGCAGCGCGAAATCTCGCCAGCACTTAGGGAAAAATCGCAAAGCCCCAAAACGCATTTCTCAAAATCTCTTTCGTTTGAGAGTACGTTTTAGGGCTTTGCACACACCTCCGACTACTTCAAAACCCACCGTTCCTCACGGTTTTTGGTGGCTGAAATCTGTAGACGGCGCGTAGTAGATTGCGCGCCGCATGGCCTTTTAGTCGAGCCACGTCATTCGCGCACGCATTTGCCGCGTTGGTGGCGTCGCAAGGGTTTTCACCGTTCGCCAGCTAGATTCTAGCAACGACCCACGGCCATTCCCGTTTACTGCATTGCGTATCTTATTTAGCCGCAAGTTGCAGAGTTTATCGCGCGACGCGCATCGAATCGGCCGCGTTAGGGTTTCGGGTTTAGGTTGAGGAGGCGCTTTAACAACTCGCGATGGGCAAGCAGGGTGGAGCAGGTGCGGGGCGTGGGGGCGGTAGGAGTGGTGGTGGCGTGGGTCGCGGCCGCGAGGATGAACCGGATGCTCAGACTGGGGCGCACGCATTGACGGGCAAGGAAGCACGCGCGCAGCGCAGGATGATGACGGAGGCGGCATTCGCGAAGCTGCAGGGGATTAAGGCGGGTACCTCGCTAGGGGTGGAAGGCGACGGGAACATGGGAGGAGCCCCAGGCAACGGCGGGATTGGGACGCAGGGGAGTGGCGCGGCCGACGCAATGGAGCCCGCCCTTGCTGGCAAGGCGGCCGTTAGGGACAAGGCGGAGGACGGGGATGCTTGGCGGATCCGAGCATCGGCGGAGGGGGTGCGGACAGCCTATGAGGAGGGGGATGAGGAGGTGGCTGAGGAGGAGGAGGGTGATGACGACGACGTTGTGGCGGAGGAGAAGGGGGATGGGGAGGAGGATGGGGGAGCTGGCGGCGAGGAGAAGGGGAAGCGCAAGGTGGATGTCCATGTCCGCCGGCAGGGTACAGGGAGCCGAGTGATAAGAAATGGCATCCTTAGGCAGCGTGATGTTTTTCCACAAACTCCAGTGTACAGTATACAGAGTACAGCATGCAGTATACAGTATACCGTGTACAGTGTACAGAGTACAGCATACAGCATACAGCATACAGTATACCATGTACAATGTACAGAGTACAGCACACTGTATATACAGTATACCCTGTACAGTGTACAGAGTACAGCACACAGTATACAGTATACCGTGTACAGTGTGAAACGTACAGTGTGTAAAGCGGTGGTGAAGAATCCGCCCCTCATCTCCCACTCACCACAGAGTGCATGCACGGCAGCCAGCAGCATGAGCGAGCAGCCAGAATCCACATAGAGCACATTCTTGAATGAGAGAAACCCACCCCTAACCCTGTTACTGTGTTACGCACTACAACTCAACTCACCGCACTGCACCACTGCCCCACTCACTGCAGTGCGCACGGGAGCGGGCATGAGCGACCAGCCTTCATCCACCTACGCTCACTCTTGGGAAAGAGAAAGCTACTCCTTGCCATACCCCTAGCCTAACCTGTCACAACTCACCGCAGCATGCACGGCAGCGGGCATGAGTGAGCAGCCATCGTCGACATACACCACCAGGCGAACCACACCAGGTGTGCGGTAGCTGAACTCCTTCACTCCCACCACCACACACTGGGGAGAGGGCAAAAGGGGAGAGAGGAAGGGAGTGAAAGGACAGGCGGCAGGGAGGTGGGTGGTTGTTGCGCATGGCACCAGGCGCACCACACTAGGGATGCGGTAGCTGAACTCCTTCACATCACGCCCACCACCACACACTGCCACACACTCAGAAGGGAAGTGGGTAAGGGGCGTGCAGAGCATAGAAGGGAGTATGGCGTGCAGGGAGGGAGGGAGGGTTATGGGGGCTGTGCATCACACCAGGGGTGCGGTAGCTGAACTCCTTCATTTCCTACACAACCCAGCCAAACCCAATCAAAACATGCCAAACCCAGCCCAACCCAACCCTACCCAACCCTACCCACTGATATACCTTCACAGTAAGCAGCTTGCCACTCCTTCCTGCTCCTGCTCCTTCCTCTTCCCCCCCTTCCCCAACCACATCCGCCAGGTACGCAAACACTTCCCCTCCTTGTGCTGCCACTGCCGCTGCTGCCCCTGTTGCTGCTGCTGCTGCTGCTGGTTCTGCTTGTTTGGGTGCTGCTGCTGTTGTCGCTCTAGCATCCACAGCCGTTGTTGCTGGTGACTGTGGTGGTGCTGTGGCTGCGGCTACGGCTGCTGCTGCTGCTGCTGCTGCTTCTGCTTGTTTGGGTGCTGCTGCTGTTGTCGCTCTAGCATCCACAGCCGTTGTTGCTGGTGACTGTGGTGGTGCTGTGGCTGCGGCTACGGCTGCTGCTGCTGCTGCTGCTGCTGGTTCTGCTTGCTTGGGTGCTGCTGCTGTTGTCGCTCTAGCATCCACAGCCGTTGTTGCTGGTGACTGTGGTGGTGCTGTGGCTGCGGCTACGGCTGCTGCTGCTGCTGCTGCTGGTTGCCGATTCATCTCCATGGCAACACCATCATCACCATCGTCAGCATCATTGTCTTCGGTCAAGTCTACGACCTCCATCTTTTCTACTCTCTCCTTCACACCCACACGCCCAGTAGCAGCGAAAAGAGAGGGAGCAGGAGAAGCAGCAGAAGCAGCAGCAGCAGTAGCAGCAGAAGCACCAGTGGGAGCAGAAGCGGGACGAGCAGAAGAATCAGAGCGTGAAGGATGGTTCCCCAGCACTCCACCATCACTCCAATCCCTCCACACCGAATCCTCCTCCTCCACCTCCTCATTCCCTCCTCCATTTCCTTCTCTCCTCTCCGCCCCTTGGTCACCCCTCTCCTCCCCTCTCACCCGCCCTCCCGCCTCTCTCCCGCCCTCCCCATCCCCCTCCTCATCTAACACCACTCTTCGCCCTCTCACCACACGCCCTCGCCTCCCCACCCCCACCCTCCTCCTCCCTACTCTAGCTCCTATCACCTCTTCTTCCTCCTCCATATCTTCCTCCCCCCCCTCTCCCCGTCGCTCCACCTCTTCTCCCTCTGCCCGTCTATCTCCCCTCATGCCCCCCCTCCCTGCCTGCCCATTCGCCTGGTACCCATTCCTCCACCCGTTCTGCTGCTGCCCCGTCTCCTGCTGCGGATTCTGCTGCTGATTCTGCTGCGGATTCTGCTGTTGATTCTCCTGCTGATGTGGGCGCTGCTGATGTGGCAAGGATGGTGACGTGTCACGCCAAGATGGGGCCACGTAGGCACGGCTAGCCTGGTTTGAGCCAGCACCGGAAGAATTAACCCCAGCATGCGTCGCAACAGCAGCAGCAGCGGCAGCAGCGGCGGCAGCAGCGGCAGCAGGAGAAGCAAAATTGTTGCGACTGTGAGGATGACTTTGGTTAGAGGCAGGGGCGCGAGCATACGCAGCAGCAGCAGCAGCAGCAGCCGCAGAAGCTGCAGAAGCAGCAGCAGCAGCAGCAGCAGCATCAGCATCAGTAGTAACACCAGCAGCAGAGGCATCAGAATCTGGGGGCCAAGCCACCTCTTGTGCTAGCATTTGAGTGGTGGTCTCCAGAGTGGACCGAGCAGCGAGACGACCGCTGACGGGAATACATACATTTGGGGAGAAAGACGGGGGTGAGACACAGAAAGTGGCGCAGGAGAGGCATGAAGGTGGGGAGGCCAAGCCACCTCTTGTTCTAGCATGTGCGTGGTGGTTTGCAGAGTGGAGCGAGCAGCGAGACGACCACTGGGGAAAGAACCATGCATGGGGGGAGAACGAGGGGGAGAGAGAGGGTTTGGGGAAGGTTGAGAGGAGGGAGAGAGGGTGGTTCAGAAGAGAAATCAGGGTTTGGGAAACTCGAGACCAAGCCAAGCCACCTCTTGTGCTCGCATGTGAGTGGTGGTTTCCAGGGTGGAGCGAGCAGCGAGACGACCACTGGGAAGAGTGCATGCATGGGGGGAGGGAGAGCTTGAGGCGTGAGAAAGAAATCATGAGGGAACGAGGTTGGGATGGCACAAAGTGTCCAGCGATTTCTGAGGCAGTTCTTATGTCACGAAGACTCCTGAACTTTGCATGTCGCGCGGAGGTGCTCAATCTGCTCTTCGTCAGCGCGCTACCTTGCTCCTAGGGACACATCAGACATGCAGAAACGGAAAAGAGGACCATGCCCCTGACTGTTGGTTGTAGGTTGCCACAGTATATTCTCTAGATTTCACCGACAGCACCCACGGATCTTCTCTCGGAGGTTTGAATATGCGAGGTAGTGGCAAAAGAGGGGAAAGGGGGACATAAGAAAAAACTCGCATACTCACACAGACACGCACGCGACGCGAGGAGAGGCGAGGCATCCATGCTCGCACCAAGCAAGCAGTAACGCAAGGGGCAAGACACACCCACACCCACACCCACACCCACACCCACACCCACACCCACACCCACACCCACACCTACCGTGCAAGTGAGTGGGGGCGAGAGGGGCGTGAGAAGTGGTCGGCGATGCGACACCTGGCAGCCTCTAGGTGTGCCACGTGGCCTCCTAAGACTTGCACGAGCTCAGGCAGCAGCAACAGCAGGCCCCTCCTTACAAGCACGTCTCGTAGAATCACCTGCCTTTATCCAGCAAGAAAAGGGCAGCCAAACAACGAGGGAAGATGGAGAGCGGGAGGGAGGGAGGGAGGGAGGGAGGGAGGGAGGGAGGGAGGGAGGGAGGGAGGGAGGGAGGGAGGGAGGGAGGGAGGGAGGGAGGGAGGGAGGGAGGGGGGGAGGGAGGGAGGGATGGAGGGAGGGGGGGAGGGAGGGAGGGAGGGAGGGAGAGGCGAGAAAGATAGGGGGAGAGAAAGAGGGAGGGAGAGTGAACCAAACAACAGGGTGAGAATGGGAGTGGAAAAACGAATGGGGAAACAGAAGAGAAAGTAGAGTGTGAGCGCATCCACTCTGCCCAAAAGTCACCCACGAACGTTTATTCGCCTTCCTAAGCCTTCCTGCGCCTGCAAGCAACCCTCCTCCCTCCTTCCCACTTTTTACCCCGTCGTAGCCAACGTAATGACCGCTCTCTCTCAACCGTAGAGCATCACCGCACAGCACCTGGCTTCACCCACATACTTCCAAGCCACCCTAACAACCCCTCCACACCACCCCACGCCTCCTCTTTCATCTGCAAGCAACCCAACCGCACAGCACTTCACAGCACCTGACAGCGCCTGAGAGCACCTGACAGCACCTGACAGCACCTCAAGGCACCTGAGAGCGAGCACACCTTGCATCCAGGCGGCATCAACGGTGAGAGAGAGAGCAGGCACGTGGCGATGCTCCACACCGCAGACCTCCTGCACGCCATCCGTCAGCTGCCCCTTCAAACACCGCCGCCTCCTCTCTCACCTGCCCCCCCACCACACACATACAGCGCCCACAACACCTCGAGGCACTTCACAGCACCTTACAGCACCGCACAGCAATCACCTTGCATCCAGGAGGCATCAAGGGCGAAAGAGCAGGCACATGGCGGTACTCCATGCCGCACACTGCCTGCACACCATCCGTCAGCTGCACCTTCAAACACCGCCGCCCCTGCCCCCCTCCCTCCCCCCCCCTCCCCCTCCCCCTCCCCCTCCCCCTCCCCCTCCCCCTCCCCCTCCCCCTCCGCCTCCGCCCCCCCACTGTTGCTCCTCCCCCATCCCTCCGCCCGTCCTGTCTGCTCCTCTCGCGCCGTCTTCCCCCTGTCCGCTTCCCAGCCCCTGCCCCCGGGCCCGGCCTCCTCCCCCCCGCCCAGCGGCAGTGCGGGCAGCGGCGGCAGGAGATGGGGGGTAGCGGAATCGGATGGGCACTGCTATGTCAACCACCTCGTCCACCTGCGGTCATGGGGGGGGAACGGTGATGGGGGATGGGGATGGGGATGGGGATGGGGATGGGAATGGAGAGAGGGAGAGGGAGTGGGAGAGGTTGAGGGGCAGGGGCAGGCATAGAGAAACCTGATAACAGGTAGCACGTAGGAGATGGCACGTAGCAGGTAGCAGGACACAGGTTACAGGTAACAGATAGCAGGTATCAGGTAACAGGTAGCAGGTAAGAGGTAGCAGGTAAGAGGTAGCAGGTCACAGAAGCAGGCAAGCAACCTCAGATCGCGTGGCTCCTGGCAAGCAACCACACAGCAACCTCCCCGCCTGTTTTTAGACGCCTCAAAACGGAGTTTCTTCCCACCTGGAGAAGGAAGCTTCCTCGCAGCGTCTGGTCGTGCATGGATTGCACGTTAGCGGGCAAGCAGCCTCTATTGGACGCCACGGCTCGCAGATCCGCCTGCAGAAGTAACGCCATGCATCGGGTTACCACCTCCCGCCATGCCTCCCGCTCCGTCTGCCGCTCTGCCTCCCCGCCAACCGCACCGGATCCCCCTGCTACCACTCCCCTCGCTCGACCCGATTCTCTTCCTCCACCCGCTGTGTCGACGGGTAGATTAAGAGATGGGTCTGAGGTTACTAGGTGCCGAAGCGCGCCTTCCACCCACGTGTCGCTCGGGAACGCGCCTAACTCGTTCAATTGCGACACGACACGTGGCACGGCAGCAGCCACTCGTTCGGCCATCAGGTGTGGAGAGGAGAATCGTCGCGTGACTACGCGCGGTTCATAACAGACTACTGTGTCCGTAAGGCGTGTATTGCTATGGCTTGTCACAACTTCGTGCAACATGCGCCGCGTGTACTTTCTTTCGCACGATCTGTTGCTACTCTAAAGAGCAGGAAAAGTATTTTAATTGGTGTGTCCCTCATCGCTAAAAGCAAGGAGCGTCTTTTATGGAGGTCAATGAGAGATAGCGGTTCAAGAGGGAAATTTACTGCCACGGACTATCCACGAAACTTTTCATACTTTCGTGGACAGACCCTACTTTCATGGACACCACATCAAAGTTTCGCTTCTCCCGTGGACTCCGTCAATACTTTCGTGGACTCCAGGCTTACTTCCATGGACACACGCGAATCTGGAAAAAAAAACAAAAACAAAAACATACAGAACTGTACAGTTGCTGACGAAAAAAAAAAGACGACGCAATCGTCTTAGGGTTGCGGAATATTTTTATATAGATATATTTATTGTGTTTAAAATTACCCGCATATATATGTATAACTTCAAAGCATAAGTATCTGTAAGCTTCTAACAATGGATTAAAACATATACTATGTAAGTATTCAATAGATGATTTGTGTTATAGTGCATTAATAAAATTACATGCAATCACAATGTTCATTCATCTAATACAAGTAGGACATATCATTGAGTTTCTACATTTTTTACACTATATAGAAATGGGCTTTAAGCTATTCATCGTCCGATTCTGTTCTTAAATCGTGCCACGCTGTTGTTCGTTTCTGCTTGTACAGTTTCTTGAATAATTTTGTTCCTTATTGCTCAACTGTAGACCTGTTTCCGTAATGTTTCTTTTGTTTTGTGTGCGTTTGGATTGTTTTTTTTTTTTTTACCTTTCCGCCAAATGCCCAGCCGTCGGGAGTTTCCGTTTTCATTTTGTTTAATTATTTGTTGACTGTGGCCACTGTTGACTTGTGGCGAGCGAATCTGGCCACCTGGCAATGCTGTTTTTTTTTTCCCAGTGGCGAGATTCGTCACGCGTAACTGCCAGCGGAAATATAATCCGACGTGGCAATGACACCAGCCTAGCAACACTCGCCACAGAATGCTGATTTTTTTCCCGTCAATAAGAGGCAAAACCCCCGAGCTCGCCACTTGATGCATTACGCGTTACACACTCGAATTTCTGAGTTACACTACCGATAGTTTTGGTTAAATAACACGATTACGCGAATTTCAGTGCGATGGGGCACTTTCTGACCGAGAAAAAAACAAATCTTCTTTCAGAGCTGCAGAAACGTGAATTCCTTATGCTCGATTCTTCCTCCTCTATACTTCTGTCTCACGTTTTTCTCTTCCCCACTTCCAGCAATTCGTGATTCTAGATCTGGTGATTAGGCAGCAACATGGACAGCAGCTACGACTGCCTTTTCTTATCGCAGCTGTACGACAGACTACTCCAGGTCGGCATTAAGAGTGGCTTGATGACATTTTCGTGTAGTCGTATGTTACTAGTTTCTCTATGTTTCTTCTCTCGTTTTTTCCTCAAGCTAGTAGAGGAAACGTAAATGGTCTCTTTCAGCTTAGGTACTCGGTACGGATTCTCATCTGTCGTCTCCCCTCTCCTTTGCCCGCCTTTTCACCCTCCTAGTCCGTCGTAACCACTTCTTTGCCCGCCGTCTCCCCCCTCCTTGCATGTCGTTTTACCTCTCTCTCTCTCTCTCTCTCTCTCTCTCTCTCTCTCTCTCTCTCTCTCTCTCTCTCTCTCTCTCTCTCTCTCTCTCTCTCTCTCTCTCCCTCTTTGCCTCTCTCTACCTCTCTTTCAACTTCTCTCTCTTCGTCTCTTTCCTTTCACCATCACATTTTGTGTTAAACTTCCCATGCCCATTCGTTCTCGCCCTAGCTGCTTGTTGTTCACTCCTTTCATACGCAATGCCTAATATAATATCCACTTTAATTTTGAGCAGGTTTTCTTGTAAACGCATTTATGAGTTCCCTACGGCGTTTTGCTGTAATTCGTTGGGATGTTCAATTATCTCATTTTCAGCTTTATATTCTTATAATTGCTGGCGTCCTGTGTTTGGCCTGATGTGTCATGCTGCTGTTATTTGCTCTCATTCTCGATCCACAGCAATGTATGTCTGTATTTCAAAAAAAGAAAGCATGCTTATCAAATCACAAACGGTTCACAGGCGAGCTCCTTGAGTTTCTGTCTCGAACTGGATTTGATAGGTTTTGGTTCTTTTTTTGAACATTACAGATTGCGTTGCTCCATCATTCAGACACTAGGCTTGCTGACTTCCCCCCCATGCTAGCGCTGGGGAAGCGGTAGCTTAGAGTTTGAGTTTTTCACTGTCACATCATCATAAAAAAAAAAATTCATGTCATGAATGATGACATGAATATTCTTGCACGACTCGATTGGATCCGTACACAACGATGTGATGCAATCAAACAAGAGGCCTGCCAAAATTTCACAGTACACCAGAAATCAACCAAATATAATGCAAATATTATTTCAAAATATATGCATTTGATTCCTATCATAGAATAAACACCTCTAGCATTTTGTTACATTCATAGGAAGAGAACAAAAACTGCAGGTCATATTTTATTGTGCAAAGGTTTTCCATCCAAACTTTTGAGTGAAAAAAAAAATCGGCAAAATCGATCGTAATAGGTTGCTCCGCAACCAAAAAAAGCGTAATCAAGTCCCTCGCAAATAGCCGCAAGCTACAGTAATTGCAAGCCACCAAGTCCGCTATCGGTTTCGCCTGTTCAAAGAAACTCTGAAGCGATCCTCAAAATTCATTTGAATGATTGTGACGAAGCGGTATTAGTTGAAGGGAAAGTACATCCGCGCTCAGTATTAGGGTCCACGCTATTACGTATGGTCAGTGGAACGCTATGAACCATCAGAATGAGTGAGTTCGTCACACGGCTAGTCGGTCGGATTCCACGGTTAGTCAGTGACTGCTGGTAAAAAAATATACGAATGGTCTACAACGACATCTTAAATATGCCTCGAGACAACAGTGAAGCAGAGTACAACTATGTCATCAGGTTCATCGACGCAGCAACACGATACGTCTGGCACTACAACCTCAAAACACGAGATCAAGCCTTCGAAGCCTTCACGACGTGGCTCCCCATCGCTGAACGAGAATCGGGCTCGCAACTCAAAAGTTTCCAGTCATTCGGAGCACTGGAGTACCAGTCACAACGATTCAGGAACTACTTGGCAGAAAGAGGCATCAGACGCCTCGTGTCCCTGCCCTACGCTCACCAGCGGCAGGGGGTCGCAGAGAATATGAACAGAACCTTGCAGACGACGATGCAAAAGCTGCTCCTGGGGACGAGACTGCCCAACACGCTTTGGCCTCACGCGATGACGCATGCAGTCCACCTGCACAATTTGCTGTCCTCGTGATCACTTCCCAACAGCGCATCACCGCACCTGGTGTGAACAGGAAAATAGGGCAGCACAAAATTACTTCGAGTCTTCGGCTGCATGGTACAGTACAGACCCCACACAACCCGAGCAGGTCGAATGTCTCAACGAGCACGGTGGGGACTACACCTCGGCATCGCAAAACATTTCCAAGCATGGAAACTTCTCGACATTCATGACAAAACCACCGTGGCCTCACGTGATGTAATCTTCTACGAGCGACTGACGCTGCAACATTAGCTGGATAATACACACGACCCCACCGACGGCTTCGAAGGCCATCGGTCCTTCGCCGACCGTGCCGCCGAAGCTGACGCAGCAGAAGAAGACGTACCTGAAGCCTCGGACGCTGCCGGACCACTCCCTTACTGCTCCGTGCCCATTCCACTCGACGACGACAATCCTCTCGATAGTAACAACCTCAACACTTATTACCACTTCGCTGACCAAGGTTACACTACACATCAACCGATCGACACAAATATCTCTGAACGCATCGGACCCAATTTCTTACCCGACCCCGAAGACGGTGACGAAGCAGCTTATCCCAAGAATGACAATTCCCCTCGACACACACACACGGGCCTGCAGATACTTGGACTATGGGTTGCCGTCCAGAGCCCGCCACCGCCGTCACCGCGCGAGCCATCGACTCTGTCACAGGCTCTGGGGGGGGGAACACAAGGCGAAATGGAAGGAAGCAATGGAAAAAGAACTGAAGGCCCTGCAAGGCCGAAATACGTGGAAGCTGGTACCTGCAACAAAAACCAACGGGAAGAATGTGCTCTCGGGGAAATGGGTGTACCGCATCAAGACTAATGCGGATGGCTCCATCGACTGTTTCAAGACTCGCTGGGTCGTACGAGGATTCGACCAGCGATATGGGACCGACTACACGGAGACATTCGCCCCAGTCTCCCGACATACTTCCCTACGCATTTTGATCGCCGTCGCGGCCACGAAAAAGCCACCACTGCGCCAGATCGATGTCGCCAACGCCTTCCTGTACGCACCTGTGGACGCCGAAATCTTCGCCGAGCAGCCCCACGGATTCATCGACGATCCCACAAAAGTGTGCCAGCTGGTAAAATCCCTTTACGGAATTAAACAAGCCCCGCGGCTCTGGCAGCAGCACCTTCACGACCGCCTCGTCAGGATCGGTTTTCTGCAGCTGCCGCACGATCAAGGCATGTACCGACTACAGAAAGGGGGGGATTTCATCCTACTCATCGTCTACATCGATGACCTGCTCTACGTCGGCTCCACTACCGACGTCGCCACCCGGCTCGAAGGGGAGCTGAGGAGTGACTTAACACTCACGGTGTCAGACACCGTGAGCCAGTACCTAGGTCTAAACATCGTCGAAGACGACTCGGAGTTCTACCTACACGCCGGAAAATACACGGGCATTGTCGCGAAGAAATTCGGCCTAACGCTAGTCGCAGTCGCGACTCCCTATCGCTACGGGAACAACAGCGAAACCTCCGTGAAGCTCCCCGCGAAACAAATCCAGGATTATCAGCAGAAGCTCGGCTGTCTACTATTCGCAGCACTAACCTGCCGACCGGATCTTTCCTACAGCGCGAGCCAACTGGCGACACACCTGAAGCAGCCGGAGCAAGAGGATCTCGAGGAGCTAAATCGGGCACTGCTCTACTTCGTCTCTACGCCGACGACCGGACTTACCTATAGCAAAGTAACGCCATCGTCTGTACA